TGACCTCTTGACATAATAACCCACCAAGCCCTACGATGTCCTTCCATCGTCTCTTCTATTGCAAATTGAAGTTCCCTGGCATCTGTTGTATTTCGAAAAAACCTGCAAGAGATGCTAGGTGATGCCATTTGCCAAATATGGTCATGCCGCCACAGAATGACAGACTTCTAGCAGACTAGGGTTTTGGGTGGTTGAACTGGCCAAATATGACCAGTTTGTTCATCCATTTTCTGAACTGTGGACAGGTTGGGTTGGGTCGAACTCATGTTCATCCCAAACCAAAAGCTCATCCCTAGCTGCAATATGTTACATTTTTGTTCTTGGGTCTAGAATAATTGTAAATCAAGATGAGAAGCTTTTGTCTCCTCATTATTAATGATGGTTGGAAGGATTGCAATGTTGACCATGCTGCCCAAAAATAAAAACCTACTTTGATATTGTTTAAGCATGAATTAAGATAGTATCTGTAGCAAAGGTACTGCACCAGCTATTAATGTAATCTACATAATCACTGATTGACAAAGAAGTGCCACAATCCTATCACCCTACAAGTGACCTTGCTTTTTACTAGCTCTGTCACCTGACATACAAGAAATTATAATAAGTATGGTGCTTGGCAGGTGATGCTTTCATTTTTTCTCAAATACATTTCATACAAGTCAACAAGAACTAGTGTAATTTCAATCTGTCACGTCAGCTAACATGATTGCTATTTTTACATATATTTGTTCTCCTGTGTGCTATGAAGCTGGAATGTGCTGACAGAAGAAATAAAAATAGCTGCATGCACAATAAAAATGTATTTTGCACATTGTCAAAGTGTTGTTCAGTCAATTATCTATATAATTGCCTACAGCCTACGGTAACAAGATACGGAACAAGAACACTTGCAATGCTCATGTTTTGTTTTGACAGACCACCTGTATTGTTACTAATTGCGCTATAACAAAACAATTACTCTGAAAGATGAGTTAGCAGCCAGAGTGGTTTAAAATACATTGGTGTGAAAGTTAACAATGACATCTGCTTCATGTGAACATTTAGCTTAGGTCTAGTGTTATGCTAAACAATACATGAAGGTCATACTGCAATGGGCTGTTTAAAGTTACAAGATTGCAGATTTGTAAAATATGAACCTTTTAGGAGCCTAATGAAACTTTCAAGGATGAGGACAATTCATCAGTCAATAAATGCATATTTTACTTTGTGCTGAACAGACATTAATAGATTAGAGCACCAAAATAACCAAGGTTTAACCTATTAAATCTTCCACGGTTGTTTGTTTGCCCTGCTTCTTTGTGGCATAACGCAATGAAACACGTAGCTGTTATGAGTCTGAAAACGCTTGGGAAATTTAAATAGGGACAGCAACTACACACTGGGGAAGCATTCATCTTGGCTGTACCTGTACACAAATTTTATTACATCTATGCACTGAACCATAATCTATTGTTATAGCTGGATTATCTGAATAAAGCCTAAATTTCTTTTCTCATCAGACCTGAGTAATGTTGTATTCTCTTGCAATGTTTGTAATATTAATGATTTTTGTTTTTTACAGAAAATGTGTTTAGTTAGTCACCAAGTTCTTTTGTGGCATAAAGTTTTTTTTCTTGCAGTTATTTCTTTCCTTGCAAACCTATTTAAGGATCTGTGTTTTGAAAAAAAAATATAGGTACCAGACATTAACAGTACCTGTACTCTGAGGGACAGTTCTGTTGTCTGAGGAAATCATCTAACAGGTCTATTCACAAAAGGGTGAAGAGTTTGGAGAAGACAGGAGAAGTGAACAATCCAGGCCAAAATAACGGATTTGGAAACATTCTCCAATAAGCTCACTTTCCAGTTCAGCTATGTTGTCCTTGATTGTTCACTTCTCCTGTCTTCTCCAAACTCTTTTGTGAATAAACCTGATAGTTTACAATAGTATTGTGTAAATGAAATGTAAGCATTGCATAATCTCCCCGAGGATCATGGATTTTTATTAATTGAGGATAAAACATAAAACCAATATGCTATTGTAAAAATATACTTTTGTTGCATCACCTTTGAAAGACTAAAGTGGTAGAGCATGCGCACTTTGTAAAATTAATTTTCACTTTGCAATGGATTTTTTATGTAGCTAAGTAAATGCGCTGAAAATTCCCGTTGCAAAGAATACTCAATAATGTGCAAGGAAACAAGACAAAAACAGGATTTTTGCTTGCACCTGCATGAATTATGGTTTAATGAATGAGTTGAAGTGAAAATTCCCTTGCAAAATGAAAAATCACTTTGCAAAATTAGCATACTTTATTTACTCTTTCAGTACATTAACTCCACTGACCAAGATAGCTCAAAATAATCAATTAATTATTTAATTAATAAACTCCATTCCCTTGGCCTCCAAGACTCTGCTTTCTCATGGTTCATCTCCTACCTATCTCAGCGCACCTTCAGTGTCACCTACAATTCTACCTCTTCCTCTCCTCTTCCTCTTTCCATGGGGGTCCCCCATCTATTGGGCCCCTTCTATTCTCGATCTACACTTCTTCCCTGGGTCAATTGATAGCCTCCCATGGCTTCCAATACCATCTTTATGCCGATGACACCCAAATCTATCTCTCCACTCCTCAACTCACACCCTCTGTCTCTTCACGTATCTCAAATCTACTCAGATTGAGTTTGTGGTAGTGGTGTAACATCCATGCTGAGATGTCACTGTCAAAAACTGAGCTAATAATTTTTCCTCCTCTCCGTGTTCCCTCCCCCAACTTCCCCATCACAATCAACAATACTACGATCAACCCCTCCCATCAAGCCAGGGTACTCGGTGTAATCCTTGCCTCTGAGCTCTCCCTTCAGCCCCACATCCAATCACTATCCAAATCTTGCCTACCTAACATCTGTAACATTTCCAAATTTTAACAAAAGAAACCACAAAGCTTCTAATTCACTCCTTTGTAATCTCTCTCCTCGACTACTGTAACTCCCTCATTGTTGACCTACCACTAAGCAGGCTATCCCCCCTCCAGTCTATCATGAATGCTGCTGCCAGACTTATCCACCTTACCAATTGTTCAGTGTCTGCCACCCCTCTCTGCCAATCCCTCCACTGGCTCCCATTTGCCCAACAAATACAATTCAAAATACTAACAATAACATACAAAGCCATCTTCAACTCCGCCCCAACCTACATCACTGACCTCATCTCAAAATATCACACAACCGTCCTTTCCGCTCCTCTCAAGACCTCCTGCTCTCTAATTACCTCCTCCCACGTTCGACCCCAGGACTTCTCCAGAGTGTCCCCATCCTCTGGAACTCCTTACCCCATTCTGCTCGCCTATCTCCTACACTGCCCACTTTTAGGTGATCCTTAAAAACCCATCTCTTCAGGGAAGCCTATCTAAACATAACTGCCTTTTACTTCCTCCAATAACTCAGTCCAAAAAGCCATAAAAAGATGTTTTCTCCATCAGCTGTATTTTCAAGTTTTTTTTTCCTGCCTAGAAATTAAAGTAGATCAACACCCAAAAGGGAATAACATGTGGTTTACTAAAGCCCTGTTTATCATTAAAAGTTGGCACTGTTTTTTCTTATATGTTTATTACCTTTTCTTGTACTTTGTTTGCATCCCAATTTTGCTGATTTCTTGCAGCCTCATTGTGTCTACATGTACTCTCTCCAGAATAGTCTGCACGTCATTGTTCTGGAACAATTTCATGATAGTGACAATGGTAAATCATACCCAGCAATGTCACTTAGCATGGCCACTTGCAATGTCTATCAGGGATGCACGTGACAGTGTGACAATGCAGTAGCACAGCTGACAGATATTTGTCACCCTATAAAGTGCCTCAACAAGAACCCCAATGGCAGCATCACAAGATATTATTTTAAGTAGAGCTGCATAAAAAAGCTGAAAACAGCTTTTGAAATTACATTAACATATTAATGCTTATAGTAGATAAGTGACTGAGTTTCAAATCACTTTAAACAGAGGAACTTTCAGTGTTATACAGCATTCCAGTAAGCATTGAAACCAAAAATGGTATGGCATGGTAGGGAGAAATATTTTACAGAACACAAGCAACATGTTGTTTAATAATAAATAAGAATAACTTCCGCCTTACAGATTTTGTGTAACATTGTTATGTTATCAGTATATTTTTCATCTCAATTCCTAGTTGCTACTGTGTATGATATTACTGCTTTTTGGCAGGGTGGGATAATGTCATCTTTGAATTTCTAAAGCAACCTTGTCAGGCTAAAAAAATATCTAGCTGAAAGGTCCCTACAGTAAAAAAGCTTCTATACTCACTCTTTGGTGGTCTGTGACTCTTATCTTCCCTCTTTTCCAATGATGCAACCTCCTTAAGTCTCTTTGCATTCAACACTTCAGGGGTCATATTTTGTTATTACTCTCTGGTATTTGACACACCTCTTTGTCACTATTGAGCTCTGTAGTAATGTAGGGATCAGAGGATGGAACCATGGTATGCACTGGAGGACACAGGAACACCACAAACGCTGAAGGATCTAATGAAGGCTGCAGTGCTGGGACACAGAGGGAAGATATAAGACATGGGCCACTGAAGAAGTAAATATAAAAGCTGCCCTATTGCATAGACCTTTTTTTCTAGATTCTATTTGACCTGAAATTGTCTCTTTAAAATAATGTGAAGGAAAAGATCTACTTCTTCGACACGACAGAATATTTAAAATGAGAAACATTTTATTTGTGGTCCTTTCTTTCTTTTTCATGTACCAGAGGAAAAATTCTTTAGTGGGTTGGTATTTAAAATGCTTTTGGGAGACCTGGTGAGACAATACAAAAATTGCAAAATAGGTAATACCAGCAAAACTTGAATATCACAATTGAGGAACCCTAGGTACCTGGTTTAAATGAATTGTTGAAAAATGTTTATGTACCCTTGATGATGATTTTTAATTTTGTTTACTTCATGTATTTCAATTATTTAAACTTGATGTACTTAGTATGTGTATATCTTTTTCAGCCATTAAACTATGAAAAAAAGAAGCTATATTCACTAAACATAGAAGGAGTAAATACTCACTTGGACTCAAGATTTTCTCACTTGGGACCTTTTAAAGACACAACAATTTTAAAAGTCATTGTTGGTGATGTTGATGAAGCACCTATGTTTACAAAATCTTTCTATGAGATGGATGTTTATGAGAACTCAGACATTGGAACCATAGTGGGAATTGTAACAGCATATGATCCAGATAGTACAAGTAGCTCAGTAAGGTAAGATAATGTATCCTACTATTTGTCTGTAAACATAAGCTAAATTATACATTAAAATAACATTTTCCAGAAATGTATTAAAATAGTGTATCTTAACTGGAAAATATAAGGATAGCAGAAGTGAGCAGTAGTCGTATTAAAAGGTCAAAAAATACCAAGGGGGCCACTTATATAATTTGCTTTATGAGGAATTGGCTATGTTATGCATGATAATGCAACATTCTCTATTGTATAATAGTATTAAATTCCTCTTATTCATTATGTTTTGTAAAATACAAGTGTGTTTATATGATAAACAATATACAATATTTTCACATGAGTGATATTGCTACTCTTCATACCTTATCAAAATTTGGTTATTGTTATAAACATTACATTTATGAAAGTATGTTTTCAACATCCTCATGCTTATATTTTGTAAATAAGAATTTTATATTTGGGGTACACATTGCATATTTTAGTTTGGAAGCAAGACTGATTCTTTTATTAATTGTTCTACCATTTGTTACCTGAAAAAAAGTAAAAGTCCAGAGAAACATTTCCTCCTTTTGACTAGCCTTTTTCTTTTGACTAGCCTTTTTCAACACCTGTCCTCATTAGAATAACTGTTATAATGAGAGCAAAGTTTAAAAACAGTTTAGTAATTTTTAAACAAAGCCAAAATATGTAATTTAGCTGCTGGTCTTGCCAAGTTAAATCTTTGTTTCAAGGTTAATCTACACTAATGCTTTCAAATTGCTTAAGCATATATTTTTAACCTTTTATTGGGAATTACTCTATTACCAACACATAGGAGGACCTGGTCATGCTGTTGAATGATTTTTCAATTTACTTTGTAGTTAAGGTAGACTTGGAGACAGGGCTTGTGACAGGGTGACAATTGCAGGAAAGCAATTGGGGAGCAGGGACAGATTGTTGTCACACAATAATAGGGAGTGTGTGAACAAAGACCCCCAATGACATCTGCACCATATATTATTCAAATGAAATATTAAAATAAAAAAACTATTTATGAAATAACATGTTAAATATTATATTGAGGGTTAATATATTATATTGCTTGGGTTAAGACCTACTTTGAGTTAGATCACATATAAGGAATGAAGTTAGAAATAGTCTTACGGTGTCTAAATCCTTTGAATGTTTCATTGGTAAAAGCTGTTAAAAAAGATGTTTCTTGGCTTCTTGTAGTATGCTGGACAGGTGGAATGAAAAGGTAATCAGCACAGCAAGATGTTGAAATGTCTCTTCAATTGTTCTTGATTAAATATCAGTACTGTGAAATTTTAACTATTCTCTTCTTTGAAGTGAAGGCTCTAACACTTGCACTGAACTAATCAGTGATTGCACATATTCTTTCACTGCTAATCTTATGCCCACAGGAATACATTTTCTTTTATGTTACGCATGCACACTTATACAGGATTTAGACAGCTAATTACCATTTGTATGTAGATGTGTTTTACCACAGAGAAATTGCTTTTTAATACGTTATATTCACATGGTTAAACAAAATGGGAACATCTCTTCATTGTTTTGAAGTCTATGTAAACCAAAATAGTAAAGTTGTATAGATAATTCCTTTTTGTTTTGTAAATGTAGTTGTGCAAGATTTTTTATATTGGTATGATTAAATGTTTCACAAATACTTGTTGATCCTGCCTGTTTAATACAGCTTTAATACAGTAAACACCAGCCCAATTTTGCAGAATTGTGGTCCCATTGTGCTTTTATCCAATCTGTTTGTTGATTGACAGCTGCTCTGATCATTAATCCATGTTTGTAAAGCCCATTTCCAGTTTAAAAGAAATTCTATCAATGCTCCACCCATCCTCTAGCTCTGGTCTTTTACCAGGCTCAGTGATTGTCAGTGTCATTCAACCCTCTCCTCTGAGCCCAAAGCAGCTTATATATCTGACTTGCAGTCAGTTTTTATTTAAAAGGTTGCAATAAAACAAAAGAAAAAAGAAAACAAATCCTTGTCTTTCAGGCTCTGACTATACAGGCAGGTTTCCTCGCTACCAGGTGGTGAGCTTATCTCTCACGAAACAAAATTACTTTCAACAACCTTTTACTCACAAACATCCAACTTGTAGCTCTAGAATGCTGTCTGAGTCCCAGGCCAGAGCAACATCATGCTCCAGCCTTCCCCTTGTATCTAACCTGGATAATCAATCATTAATTAACAATGCAGGTGAGAGACACAAAACCCGAGCTGGATTATTCAGACCCAAAGTCAACCCAAAAACCTGGTCTGGGTTCCGCTAGTCCTGTACATAGGATAGAAAGCGAGGGGAAATATATCGCCCCTCGATGACTTCCAGTTGTCTTAAAACCTTAAAACTCTATGACATCTTTTGATTTCTTTCATTTGTTGTACTCTGTGAAATCAAATATGAAGTGTGACAATTTCCTTTGTCATGGTCATCTACATGCAAACAAGATACAGAGGTAATTTTTTTCATCTTAGCAATAGATTCATCTGTCATTTACTATGTATTGTTGTATGAAAAGTTTGCAGACACTGAGTTGAAATATAGTAGCTGTGTACTGTAGCATATGTAAGAAGTTTCAATGTGTCTAAAGGGATTATAAACTAGGACAAAATTGATAAGAACAAATAATTCCTAATCAGCACATACTACATTGTGTTTAGTGCCTACATTAGGCCTAATGTGATGATATTGCAAAGTAACTAATTTAGTAGGGAGCCATATGTGCTACAAGAAAGTAATGTCAACAATACTGTAAAATCTGAATTCCACAAGGGTAAAAGTAGCTAAGCACTAGAGAGTAAAACATGTATAATAACTTCTAGTAGAAGCGATTGGCAATCAATTGAAGTGCATACCTGAGAATACCACAAACTTGCTGGATAAAGTGTACAGCTTAAATGTCAGCAAAGGGAAGTTACAGAGCAGTTGATTTGTTTCTATTACTGAGGTTTGTTTGATTTACAATATTCTATAGAAATACACCAAGAGAGTCTGTTGGTGTAACATTCTAGTTTTACAAAACAGTAAGAAAACATACAATATCAAATTCACGTATTGTTTATTTATTTTTCTTAAAGCCAAGCACCAGTCATTTGTGGTTTTGGATTGTGTGAAAAGTTTAAAATCTCTATTTTTATTGCTCTCTCTAGGGAAGATTTCACTTTACTTTCAGTCCCCCGTGACTGGAAAAGGAAGTAAAAGAAAATCTCTCAAAAAGACACAATCAGCAGTAAAACATTTAAGCATGAACAAAGGTTACAATGCCCCCACTGGGGAAACTCCCCCATATTTATCTGTAATTGTATGTGGTGGGTCTACCAAATGTCATTTCACATATATAGAGATATGCATTATTGATATCTTAAATGCTTGTCTCTGAGAATAAACTACCAGTTGAATTTTTACAACTCCTAGGTTAATTAAAAATCATGTCTACGCAGTTTCTATTCAAAACCACTGTGGGCAGAAATAGCCATTAGTCACTAACCCATATGTTTATTATAATGACTATCATAATGAGTATAATGGAGAAGAGAAAATGCCAATTAGGCAACCAACTTGTTTCTGAGTTATCATAAAAGATATGAAAACGGATATAATGGTACTTTGTAATCCTAAGAAAGAACACATTTTGGACAGTTGTTTATAGAAAACTTTTTTAGATCATAACCATAATAGCAGGACAATATTACAATCAGACCATAAACCTGGTTTGTATGCAGGAAACACGTCCATATTAATTAACTGAGACATACCAGTATATATTGGAAGCTTGGAAATGCAATAGAGGGTACCCCCGTGTGTGTAGTATGCTGAAGGTGCTAGAAGAGCAACTTTCTCATAAATAGCCCTCTTATTCCAATGAATTGAGTAGATTTCCATTGTTCAAAATATAATAATTGTATGTGTTCATAAATACAAGTTCAGTCCTCCAGTTCCTTTATACTCTCCTTGACATTTATATAACAGTATTGACGGATGATTGGTAATTAAACTACATTTAATCCAATCACTAAATTCTAACATAATCTTCAGCAGGTTTTAATTTTACCTACATTTGTCTTTAACAATAACATTTTAAATGACATTTTCAATCTTAGGCAGGGTTTACAAGTCTCTGGTGTAGTTATGCATTGTATGTAACAAATTACCACTGAAGTCCCAGCCACTTTTTTAAAACAGTGACCATACTCAACGACTTCCCGGGGGCCCCATTGGTATGTAGGTTGTAACTGCCAGTTATCATGACAGCCATTGTCCAGCACTAAGCCCAGAGGCTAAATCAATCAAATTATGGGCTTTCAATGCTTTTACATTTGCTTTCTGTTTACATAAGGTCTATAGTGACATCATGAGTGATGTAATGGCCCTTCCTCTGAGTAAAGAGACCAGGACAGAGGTGTTACAGCTCTATCCAGTGCTTCCCTACAGAAATAGATTACTGGTATAGTGATATGTTGCTTACTAATTGCAGCCAGCAATAGAAAACTATTAGAAGTAATTTTCTGCTGCACAGCTGTATGGATGGTCTGGACCAGGTCTCCACTAATCTGATCTAAGCCACCATGTATAGAAAAAGTTAAATAAAAAACTGTAAATTAAAAAAAGTGGAAAATGAATAGAAAAAACTAATTAATATACAGTATGTACATATACGGTAGATATACTGTATATTTATATATCTATATGTATATCCTAAAAATATTTCCACCTGTATTTATTCCCAGATTGACGTAGGAGCATTTGAATAACACTTGCATTCAGTGTACAATCATCAAATGCTTAGAGAAGTGAATGCAATGTGCCATGCCAAAAAAGTGCGTAGGGTCCCCTCAAAATTCCTTATCAGAGCCTTGATCAAAGCAGTGGCCTGGCAGAGCAGGAAATGGGGTATCATTTTGCTGCCCCTCTTCTGCACCATATCAAGCCACGTGTCCTCAAAATGGGACAGTGTCCCGATGTTGATAAGGACAGGGGCCTCTTTCCCACAGCCCTTGCCCTGGT